TTCCCAGATGCAGCACTTTGCATTTGAACCTCGTCTGGTTCTGTTCTGTCCAACATGCCGGCCTGTCTAGGTCTGCTTGTATCTGCAACCTATCTGCGGGTGTGTTCGCACAACCCCGTATCTTAGTGTCATCCGTGAACTTGGCCAATGGGCTTTTCACCCCCTCATCCAGGTCGTTGATGAAGATATTGAACACTACTGGGCCAAGTACCGACCCCTGGGGTACGCTGTTGCCTACATCTTGCCAGGATGACACCAATCCATTCATTTGGACTCTGTGTCCTACACTTCAACCAGTTTCACACCCACTTGATGGTCCTAGAGTTGAGCCCGATATCCTCCAGTTTTCTGATCAGTACCTTGTGGGATACCAGGTCAGAGGCTTTCTGGAAGTCGAGGTATATGATGTCAACTGGTTTTCTCTCATGCAGATGATGAGTCACCTGATCATAGAAAGAAATTAGGTTGGTCAGACAAGACTTGCCTGCGACGAAGCCATTTTGGCTGTCATTCAGTATCATGCCTTCTGCAAGTATGTCACATATAGTCTCTTTGATGAATGTTTCTAGGATTTTCCCTGGAATAGAAGTTAAGCTAATTGGCCTGTAGTTTCCCAAGTCTTCACTCTTCCCCTTCTTGAAGATGGGCACAACATAGACCCTCTTCCAGTCCTCTGGGATTTCTCCAGAGGCCCATGATATTTAAAGACCTTTGCCTCTGCGATTACTTTGGCCAACTCTTGCAACCCTCTTGGGTGGAGTTCATCTGGTCCTGCTGATTTATATACATCTAATTTCTTTAATTGATCATATACCAGTTCTATGGCAATGGTGGGACTGGCATCAATCCTGCCCTGCTCGTTCTGTGTCCTACCTGGCATGTTGTTCCCCTTGGTCTTGTGAAAGACCAAGGCAAAGTACTCATTTAGGAGTTCCATTTTTTCCTGAGTGGTAATGACCAGGTATCCTGCGGCATTGAGCCAGTGGCCCTACACTCCCATTAGTTTTCCTTTTACTCCCTCTGTAGCTAAAGAAGGACTTCTTGTTGTCCTTGATTCTTGTAGCTAGTTTTAGTTCAGTTTCTGCCTTAGCTTGCCTAATCTGTTTTCTACATGTGCGGGCCATTGTCAAGTAGTCTTCCTTAGAGGCTGTCCCAAACTTCAATTGTTGTACACCTCTGTCTTTTTCTGTAGGATGGCTGCAACTTCCTTGCTTAGCCAAGAGGGTTTTTTGACCTTTCTGCTAGTTTTTCTCCGTAAGAAAATGGATTTTCTCTGAGCCTTAAGGATTGTATCCTTAAGGAACAACCATTCTTTTCGTGCTCTCTTTACCTGTGGTACTTGGTCTCTCAGGGCATTCTCTACTAGTGACCTGAGCTTATTAAAATTTGCATTTTTGAAGTCTAAGACTTCGAGCTTGGCATTTGTTTTGTCAGCCTTGCGACAGACTGTGAACATAATGATTTCATGGTCACTATCGCCTAGGCTGCCCTCTGTGTTTAAGTTAGTCACCAGGTCAGTCTCTTTGTCCAGGACCAGGTCAAGAACATTGCCTCTAGATGGCCTGTGAACCTCCTGAGTCAAAAAAAGCTCTTTGGTGCTGGTCAGGAAGGATTGTGATTGATCTGACCTGGCCGAGCACTCTTCCCAGGAGATGTTTGAGTAGTTGACATGACAACCATGTCCCATGCACACGCAACCTCCGTTAGTTCACAGGTGAATGCTAGATCAAGTTCCTCCCCTTGGTTAGGAGGCCTGTAGTATATACCTACAGTCAGGTCTCTCTCGCCGCGCCTCCCCCAGAGCTTGACCGAGAGGGTTTCAAGCTGTTCTTTTTTGGGGCCAACATTGGCCTGTAGGGAGATGTACATAGGGGGCAACATCCCCATCTCTCTTCCCTACCTAATCCCTTCTGTGAAGGACATAGCCCTTTATGACTATGCTCCAGTCATGAGAGGACTCCCACCAGGTCTCCATCATCCCTGCTATATCATAGTGCCCAGTGGAAAGCAGGAGGACTAATTCCTCCTGCTTGTTCCCCATCCTTCTGACTTTGGTGTACAGACAGCTAAGTCCTTCTACTGAGGTCACTGGCCGCCTGTTGCGTTGAAGGGGAGCTGTTTTCTCAGCTCCTGTAAGAGTGGCTTGCTTGGTTTCATTGTCGATGGAGCTTTTCCTGTATGAAGTTATCTACAAAGTAGTTCTGAGAAATTAAGCTTATACCATTTTTGTTTTTCTTACATATATAGAAAGACACTTAGGATATTACTTTTATTTTTCTGAATGTTTTACTATTTTTTTCCTGCTTTTGTTGAACTAGTAGGTGATCAGAGATGAGTGCTGAACAGCCTAATTGAAGGGGTTTTGATTATTTAACAAAGAACTCTTTAATTCATACTGGCAATTTCATTGAAGTGAAATGGGTGTTACAAAAACAACTTGAAACAGTCTGACTAAAAATTCCTTCCTCTTTATAGTTAACTTATACTTTCTTTTTTCTTGTGATGTACTTCAGGCCTGTAATATCTTGGGTTCAACTGAAATGAATTGGAACAGAGAGTTGAGTCAGGGTGGGGAAGTTCAGTGTTGGATCCAGAGGGGGTGCAGTGGTGTGGATGTACCCCTTTTGGACCATGCCACAGAAGTAGCAGTGGGGACTTTTAAGTCCCTAAGTTGCGTAAGAATCCTGTCCTGCCCTTCCATTCTTGGCACCCCCTCCCTTTTCCTCTGTTTTTGAAGCATGTTTCCTTCCCCTGCTACTGCTGCTGTGTCCAGCCGATTGGGGGGGGGTGAAGTGTTGAGGGCTCCAGAACAGTGTGCCACCAGACATTACCAGGTGTGCCGTGGGATCTTGGGTGGGTGTGACTCCTAGCAGGGTGGGGCTCCAGCTAGTGCTGCTGCCACTGCCACCCCGTGCCGCCACCACTCTGCATTCGGCTGCGTGCCACCACCTCCCCCCATGCCCTTTACATCTGGTTGCACACCTCCCTGCTCTGTGTTTGGCTGTGCACTACCTCCCACCTCCACTTCACTTTCAGCCAGTGTGCTGTGGGATGGGAGAGGCCATGGGATGAAAAAGGCTGGGTAAATGTGCTGTGGGATGAAAAAGGTTGGGAAATGCTGCTCTAGAACTACCATCCTGTTAAATGAATTGGGAGCCTTGTGGGGGGAGGGGCTCCAGAGCCACTCTAGCTGGGATCAGCAATGGACAGCAGCAACAGAAGGGTTTCCTTTTCCTGAACTTGCTTCTGGGCTGGCAGAGAACACCAAGGGGGACTGGGCAGAGATGAACCCACCCACTGCTGCCCTTGCTGAGCCCAGCTGGAGCAGGGCAGAAATGGTTGTGGAGCCCTCCTCTCCTCTTCCCTCCCCCCAATCAGCCAGAGACAGCAGCAGTGGGTGGGGGAGAGAGGGAAGAGGACATGGTGCTGAGGACAGAAAGTAAGGGAGGGGGCGCTGAGTGGGTGGGTAAACAGGACAGGATTCTTACCTGTTTTGGGGACTTAAAAAAGTCCCCCCTGCTGCTCCTGTAGCATGGTGTGCTACAGGTGGTGGTGGTGCTAGAGGTGGTGAGCTAGGGAGCTGGGGTGCAGGCATGCCAGCAGTACCAGACACTGCTCCTGCATCCCCCTTCACAAAATCCTGAAACTACTCACAGGGATGTTCAAGTCTTTTGGGTCATCTACTTTTGTGAAAGCTTTTGGTTGCCCAGCACTGCCCTCTGAGCTATCTCTTCTAAAGGACCAGTCCAAAGAGTTGTTTTGGTCACTCATCAATATGGGCTACTATTTTCCAATAGCTGACTAGCTGTTTTGAAAGCCAGTGATCTACTCAAAATAGATGGTTGGTCCAGTGCAGCAGGGGAAAGGCACAAGGCCAATTTGTGGCATACCTGCCAAAAAGGATAACCCCTGTTGCAACTGATAATCTGAAACTTGACCCACTTGCTTTCTTTGATTTCTTTATATCCACATGAAATGTTGTGTGTTCTGGCCTGTTGTGGAGTGCAAAGAAACAAAGTGGTTGCCTTGATTGACTGATGGGGGAGGGATATGCATTAGTAGCTAGCAACCTTTATGATACTCTTGTCCTGAGTGTGGCCTAATATGAGAAGTGACAAGAAAAAGCATCTTATTTAGCAACCCTAATGATTTATGACTCGTTTTTGACAAGAGAAGATGTGTAAGTTCAACTATTGATATCTTTCAGAGGCGCACCTGGGTGGTTCATGGTGGGCAGCAGCTGCAGTTGTGCTGCTTGGAGTGGTGGCCAGGCCAGCAGGCCAGGCTACTCTTTCTGTGTCATGCCTTTCCTCTCTGCCTGCTCCTGTTCCCTTGGCACATAAGACTAGTGCTGCAGTTGACCATCCCCCGCCATAATTATGCTACTTATATCTTTTGTATTTTATGGAGTGCTTTGGTTTGCAGACAGCATAAGGGGCAGCAGATATTTTCTGTCTCCCACTGTGGTGTTGCAGAATGGCAGTATATTGGGAGTTTTGACTAAGTCTCTTTGGGGTCATCTTATAGCCTCTACTTATAGGTGGAGGTCAGAGAGCAGTCAAGCACAGATGTTGTCTGCTGGAATTCTTTTTATCTTGTGATCTCCAGAGGAAGCATTGTCTAGAAATGAAAACCTGGAACGGGAAGTTGAAAGCTCTGGTTCCATTCCTAGATATTCTACTGCTTTGACTCATAATAAAGGAAAAGTCGTATATAATCTCTGGCCTATTCTGTAAAAAGTGATTTGTAATAGCTGTATCTCAGGATTTTTGAGAGCTGCAGTTGCTCATAAGTTATTTGGAAGGTCTTTGGAAAGAAAGAGCTTTAGAAAGTCAGACTTTACATATATATTGAACTTTAAGGATTAGTGGTGGATATCTGTTTCCCCCACAAGAGTACAACAGCTGGAGGATAAGGTATTGATGAGACATAAGAGCCCCAGTAGACAAGTTGCTCCCTGCCTATTCGTGATATTTGACTTTCCTTTTCCTTGCTAACAGAAAAGCTTGCAGAAGCTCAGCGCAGGTCCGCTACCCTTCAGAATGAACTACAATCAACCTTGGATGCGCAGAGGGAAGCTAGTGGAATTTCCACACTGCGGCAACGTAGAAAGCCAGTCTTCCACCTGTCCCATGAGGAGCGTGTCCAACACAGGAACATCAAAGACCTGAAATTGGCCTTCAGCGAGTTCTACCTCAGCCTCATCTTACTGCAGAACTATCAGGTACCTACAAAAGGGAACAGTTTTCCTGAGCTCCATAAGCATTCTTGATCCTAAAATTAAATAGAGGTCAGAAAATTGGGACTGAGAATGGGAAAGAAATCAGGTCACTACAGTAACTTTGGGGCCACAAACTTCTGTTTAAAGCTGGACCTGCAAGTTTGGGAAGAAGCACAAGATTTATTGAATCTCCTGTTGCATCAGCATTTTCTTTTAAAAACTTACTTTTTCAGGAGTTTTTAACTCCTGTTTAATTCTGTAAAATTTTGGTTAAATTTTGAAGGCTACATTGTCATAAAAGTTCCTAGCCTTGAAGTATGTACAGGTTTCCCTCACTTTATGCGGTTTCTGTATGTGCGAATATGCTCTTATGCGATGACCCTTTTTATACCAAAAATTCGTTATAGACGAGGTAAATTTACTCTTACATGATCAGTGTGATTGAAGCCCACAGTTGGCTGTTTTGTGTGGTGCATTGTGGGGGTGACATGTGTTACCAAATCTGCCCATTACTTTGGGGTGTGCTCATGTATTAGGGATAGTTTCTAGGGTCTTGGTGATTCTGTCAATGTGCTGCTTGTGTTACTATATGGAGCTGTATTTCTCCCTTCTGCAAGCCCTCACCCCCAGTGGAGCTATCTTGCAGGACTCAATCTCAGTGGGACTGGGTTCCTCCAGTCACCAAATCAGTCATACACACAAACACACACAAATTAACGTGACACGCCTGACCTGGGCAGGCTGATCAGCATGGACAGGCTGACACCCTCATATGCCAAGAATCAGTTCATAAGAGCAACAATAAAATGCAGTCAAACACAAGCACACAGGTAAACAGAATCCCTCTGAATCCGGCTGGGTGTCCAGCTGACACCCTCATGGGCCAGCATTCAGTTCATAAGGGCACGTCTGAGTCAAACTGGGTCAATCAGCCTGTACAAGCTGATCCCCTTATGTGTTTCAAACTCAGCACGTCCCAATCTTTGGCCTCTTGATGAGCAGACCCCACAATAATTTGGGCTTCACAGGGATCTTTAGCATAGGTAAAAGAAGCGTTGCTGCAGAGCACGGGAGGAAAGAGAAGCAGCGAAGGAAAAAATATACCCAATTACTACCAGTTTGACTATAAAAGTTATTTATTGCTAAGCATATGAAATATATAATAGTACTAGTAGTAATAGACATGCAAAAGAAAAACAAACAAACAATGACACCAAGAACAACAGGGGATGGTGTCAGCACAGGGGTTTTCTTCTTCTCCTTCTTTCTTCCTGCTTCTACTTCTTTTCCTTCCTTTTCCTCTTCCTGTTCTTTCTCTTTTTCTAGCAGCACACACACTTACAGATTTTTATACCCTCAGTTCAGCTGCTCCGTAGCACCCTCAGTAGTGTAAATCATTGTCTTTTCTATTGACAAGGGGTTATCTGGTTTGGACCATCTCAGGAAACTGATTGATAATCAGGAAACACTTAAGATTAGGGAGTAACCCAAATACTTGGGAGCCAGCTTGAGATTCCTATGGGTGGCAGATATACTGATGGGATATCTCATGGTTTCTTCAGGAACAATAGATAGCTTGCAGCATCAGGATTTTGGATTTTTACTTGTTGTGCACAAGCCTCAGCTTAGCATGACTTTTCCAGATCTTACTATAGTCTTTTAACAGACTTAAAGCAATTATTGGGGTGCTCATAACCTTTTGTGGAGAGGACTCCCACCAGTCGTCTCGGGAAAAGTATGACAACACCTGGGATTAGGGCTCCAGCAGGCTGGATGCTGTGATGAACCCTTAACCATTGTTCAAATGTTGCCCATACCCCCTCTGACTCGGTCTCTTGCCTCAGCATTCCCTAACCCGGCAACCGAGTTTTAGTCAATCAAGTTTAAATAGGCCTCCCATAGTGGGACCAGGGAATGTACGGTCCGAGATGCCTATTAAACTTAGAGCTGTGTGTGTGTGTCTCGGGAGGGGAGGAAAGTCCTTAGCAAATCCAGATTAGAACTGGTCTGATAAATGCTGAGCTGGGTGTGTGTGAACATGGGTTGATTAACATTGGAAGCACAGATTCCCCATCATGCAGCGCTCTCCTGCTTCTCTGGTCCCAGAATTCACTGCAGTCTCTGCTTCAGGCTTTCTGTTTTCCGTCTCTCATGTAAATGAATGGTCATCTGGTTCCATCTCAGATGTAAATGAGACCTAGGGCAGTTGATTCACTCTTGTCACCCTTATCTGGTGAGGGTCTTAGGTGCGTCTCTCACTGCATCTTAATCAGTTTCATTTAGGTAGAGGAGGGGAGGGAGGGGTGGTGAGTCCTTTGTGAGTCAGACAGACTGCATCCTGTGCCAGGGTTGCCCAAGAACACAGAGCTGAGATGTAACACATGCACCAAAATATAGTCTCCTGTGTGGATCTGTGCTCCTCACTCATTGCCTGCGACACGTGTTTCTGTAGTTGTGTGCCCCATTATGATTGTGCCCTGTGCTTGTATGTACTGTCTGCTGTTGGTGAGTACCAAAATGGTCTTGTAAAAGTGGTAGAAATGGGTCTGGAGGTCAGTACAGTCATAGTTTCATATAGTAGCTAGGGTCAGGAGGGACCTGAACAGATCATCTAGCCTGACCCCCTGCCACAGGCAGAAATGAATGCTGGGTTCACAAGACCTCAGACAGTCGAGGTCTTGGAATGTATCCCTATTTGTTACATTGTAAAGAGGGTTCCCTTTATGTGAATTTGAGTTATGCACCATTTTCCAGGAATGCATAAAGCTAGGGAAACCTGTATAAAACAGAATCTTCAGTGTATTTGAATCATAACAGCAAAAGGGATACAATAGTGCCACAAACTGATTTGCATTCCAAAAAACTTAATCTCGAGGGTGTTTTTTTTCCTTTATGAACTGTTCTGCAAGCCTTTAATATGGACTTATTTCTTTTTATTTAAATAGATTATTTTGAAAGTACCTTACCATACATGAGTTGCATTTAAAATTTCTTTACAGCTTTTTAAGCTTGTGAAATTAACACACTATTTTAAATTAGTTGTCTAAAATGAAATGTTCCCATTATGTTCTCCTAAATGAGGTTTCCATTAGGGAATTTTACCAACCAAAATTCCATAATTGGGAATAAAGAATGTTGTATAAAAGCCTAGAATGTAAATAAGGATTTAGTGGGGTTTCATTTTTCAAAGGTTCTGAGGACTTCCTGCTTTTATTGACGTCAGGGTGTTTATCAAACACTTCCAGATGCTAGGGCACTTATTTAGATACCTAAACAGAGGGTTTAAATACTTCTTTACATTAGGCTCCTCGGGTGGAAAATATTGGTCCAATAGTTTTAAAATGGCTGAAAATCAGCTTGCAGCCTGACTTTCGGTGCTACTAGAAGTACTTGTACTTCTCTGATTAGTTCAGTTGCTAGTTCAAAATTTTAAAGTAGGTATAGTAATGTTAAATCTTTTCTCATTTCCTGGTGAAACAATGTGGAAAAATAGGTGTTCATGTGGAATGCTTTAAATTCCTCCCCTTCCCCCCGCAATTTGGAGCATGTTGATAACTGTACAGAGGCACAGGCCCTTCCAAGCTAAAGCGCATCAAAATATTTCGGAGCCAATGTTGTTTTAGGAAGAGTAGAGCCTTATGGGTATTTGACCTCAAAACTTTTGCTTAGCCACTTATGTTGGTCATTTTTTCTTTGTATTGTACTCCTGGGGATGGGAAGGTAAGGAGTCTCTTGTACTACATTACCAAGAATCACTTATGTGACCTGATAAGGAAGTTAAAGACAGTGAGATGACTGCTTTGAAGAAGTGACTGGCATATTCATTGGTTGGTCTCTACCAAAAGAAAATAATTTTCTTTGCCAAGTTTTAATGAATAAATTCTCTGACTGTTCAGATTTGGCAGTTGTTACTTAAGCAAAATAGTCTGCATTCAAAAGTGGTAGGGCTTCTTTTGAGGCTTTATGCTAGGTAGGAGAGGGAAAGAAATTAATTGAAATTGTTTTCAGATTGAGGACAAAGAATATGTGTATTTAAAAAAGTGCCTGAACACAAAACCAGGCAGCGTGGGAAGTAAGAACTTAGAAGTGTTAACAAGTTCTGGCATAGCTGAAACCTGGTGGGAAGATTCTTATAACTGGAATGTCAGCATAAATTGTACTGATCTGTGTAGAAGCCACAAAAGTGAGGGGGAAGCAGCGATATGTCAAACATTTACAGTGCTGTTGAGCTGTGGTTGACGTGTAATACTGAGGTCTTTTGAGTTGGGTTATAACGAAGGGAAAAAAAAGCTTAAACAAGTAGGTATTTTTTGTGGACTACTAGGACGGTAGTAGAATATGAACAAGAAAATTTGAGCATCTGTTTTTAAGATTCTCAAAACCAGAGGATATATGCCTATGAAGTGATATTAATTATCCAGTTATTGGTAGGAAAAAGCCAACCATCTATCATACTAGAGATTCTGGAGTGAATTCAGAAACAAAGCTATGACTTTACAGTATGGATTCTGGATTGCATTTATTTTCTAATTCTCACCAGGGGAGAAATTAATTTGAGCATATGCAAATAAAAGGGGATCTTGACATTGTTAGTCATGAACTATTTGAATTCAATGTAGAAAACACAAAGTCTCTTTATAATGTAGCATGTATAAATATAATATGATTCATAAAGTAAATCTTTGAAAATCCAGATAATGTGTAATGGAAGAAGGTATTAAAATCTACAAATGGGCTAGAAAATAAGTGCTGAAGACGTTAAATATGTTTTAGCTAAGAATACAAATTTGTTTTGTGTTTGATCAAGAGGATTCTAAAGGATATTTAAATATAAGCAAGTCCTTTTTGAGCCCATTGTTTAATCCTACCTAGTTTTGCATAGATTAGGTTGTCATTTGGTCTGTGTGGCATTCATCTCCCCCTTCCCCCATGGCAAATTGATATTTAATTCAGGCTTACTATAGACTTCACTTTAATATGCAACAGAAATAGAAGGCAAGGTTGGAAGGCTCTTTTCAAACAGGATTATTCTCAGTAATATGAAAAGGTATTAAAAAAATTGCAGGCTAAGTAAATGATTTCTTCATGTTCCCTTTGGCAAAATCTTTTGTTTAAGGTTGCAGGTATAACTGCATTAACTTTTTAACCTTTCAGTTCTGGAATCATAGAACTTGAGTTGCCAAAGGAAAAGACTTCGGTAGAAGAGCTCTGAGATGCATAATGCAATAACTGCCTGTGCTTCCTGAGGAACGCAAGAGTTAAAGAGCTCTAATCACTTCTTTAGTCAATAAAATGATTCACTTCAGGGCTACAGAAGAGTCTGACCAAAATGTCATTTTGTTATGTTTTTCATTCTAACTTTATGAAATAAGGCTCTGCTGTCTCAGGGGTGAAACGCTGGGTTTTCCAATGGAAAGTAATTAAAGTCTCTTGTCTGTAGTAATACAGATCATTAATGCATTGGGTTTCCTACTCCCATCTCCCTGTCTCTTCTTTCCCTTCCACATTATGTGGGCCTGGTAGTAAATCACTCCAAGCATAATTAGATTGAAAATAATTTCAGTAGAACAGTTGGAGCCTTTCCCAAAGGCTTTGAATTCCACTGTTTTCTGTGTCTTTCTGAACAAATATATGGGCTTGATTTTGCATGTGAGCATGCTCTTTTTTTCCCTCCATCTATATTGCTAATACTTGAATAAACTGGTTCAGTGGATCACGGAGTGCTGTGGGTTGACTCTTTGAAGAGTTCATTGTTTTAGCATATCCGATATCTCATCATAGCATACTTCTGTCTCCTGCCGGTTGCTGTGAGCTTTCCTGTCTCTTTTATAACTATGTATTGTACAATACTACGTATCGTAAAAAAGTGAACGTCAATATTTAGGTTGGCACTCTGATCAACCACTATTTAAGAACCTTTGCCACACCTATTCACATGTTCTAGATAAGATAGGTTATAAATATAAATTATGTTCATAATAAGGCTAGTGTTGACACAGTCTTTTCTTAGAATATGCAGTCTTTTATTGATTACATAGAGCTGGGCTTATACGTACCATAAATATTATCCCTCTTTCCTAGCTTGTTACTCTGGGTCTTATCTTTAGTGTCTTTAGTATAGTCGCTACTTCCTTTAACATTAGTCTTATTTTATACTTAGCGTACAGAATACTTTTATAAGGAATAAACACACTTGACTGGACTAGATTGGTCAGATTTTAAACATCTACAAGATTTTCTTGTGCAAAGATATGCCTTATGTGATGTTACTTCACTTTCTTACATTCTCAGAATTGACATTTAATGTTGCCTTTGAATTAAAGGAACTAGAAAGAGCCTGTTCTGTTGAAAAAATGGCAAATAGATATGATACCTAGATAAGACGAGGCAGAACACAGTATATTTCTTACAAAACCACCCTCCAGCTTACTGCAGGTGTAAATTGTGGTTGTGAGCTTATTGCAACAGCTGGCAGTGTTAAAGTGCTATAATGCACTTATGGACTATATTTCAATGGCCTGCTATACTTCCCATATGAAGGAACCCTCAGATTCAAAATTAGCATGTGGTATGCCTAAAACGCAGTTATCTGCAGTGAATTTGTATCAGCAAAAATGGCAGTCATTTGGTTAGAATGGGAAATGTGGAAACTTTTTATTTTTTGCAAAGTAGAATATTCTATTTCTGGCCAAGGTTAACTCAAGCTTCTTAACTTGCAATTTGATTTTACATTCATTTTTTTTAAAGTAGCTTTTAATTATGATGGCAACATTTTTATTTTGAGCAAAAGGTGAAATCCAGTTGCCACTGAGATCACCTGCTGTTAAATTTTGCAATGCCTACATACAGCTAAGTGTGTAAGATGGTAATGGGATAACTACATCTCTGAATTTGGAATTTCATATTGATTTATCTCCATTTTAATAATTAGCTGTGTTGCATACGTTATTGTTATAAGCCTAAATAATACAAGAGGTTTTATTAATTCTTTGTAAACAGTCTCCAGTATTTTACTCCCTCAGTCTATTCAGTTTTGCTGTTATTTTCAATAGTTTGTATTCCTTCACACAATAGCTCTGTACATTTAAAAAAAAAACAAACCCTTCTGGAATATTTTCTGTTAGTTTGATGACTAACAAGCCTTAATAACTGTTTCTTTTCTGCTGCCCCTGGAATATTTCCAGCTTTCAACTTTCAGTCTTAAATGAGGCTAAAATTGTGTTTTCCTTGTTTCTAGAACCTGAATTTCACAGGGTTCCGTAAGATCCTGAAGAAGCATGACAAGATTCTGGAGACAACACGTGGTGCAGACTGGCGGGTGGCCCATGTGGAAGTGGCACCATTCTACACTTGCAAGAAAATCAACCAGCTCATCTCTGAGACAGAGGTAGAGAATGCTAGCTTGTGTATTGCTTTCCCTTTGTGTGGATAAATGTTTTTCTTTAGTATTAGTTTCTCTCTCTCTTCACCAGTCATAATATTAATTCTTTGTACTTAAAAACTGAATACATTGTCTTAATAGCTATTACAGTTATTAACAGATTTAAAAGTGCAGCCACTTCTGACATCGGTTACTTGCATCTTAATCATTGGTTTGTGTGTGTGTCTTGGCTTCAGCAGGTGACTTGCACTATGAGGATCTGTTGAGATGGATAGTGGTATTGTGTAGTAACTTGACATAACTAATGTGCAACATATGCTTTTTTGGGTGGGATCTGCATTAAATTCTTGTGACTCTTACTTCTGTAGACAGTGGTGACCAATGAGTTAGAGGATGGAGATAGACAGAAGGCCATGAAGCGTCTGCGAGTCCCACCCTTGGGAGCAGCCCAGGTGAGAGAACTTGGTTCTTGTAGTTCCTGTTTTTCTTACCTGTTAGTGACTGATTACATTTTAACCCTATCATCTTACTCTTCTCCCCCACACAGAATTTAAAAGTACAAATAAATTGAAATGGGTGTTCCTACCTGACATATGAGAAATGATTAGCATCTGAAGTTACTTGATGTATGTCTGTATGTTACAAGGCAAGGCATGCTAGCTCTGTATGTGTCTCTCTTCAAGCTGTTGCTTTGCTTCCAGTCCAGTCCTGTATCCCTGAACTGGAAGCAGGATAGCTATGTATGTGTGGTGATGTGTGGTAATTAGCTTGATTTTTCTCATCAGAGCTAATGGTTTCTAGGAAATGTAACCTACTTCAGTGTAGAATTTGGATTTCAAATGTTAATGCATTGGAGCAAGTTCATGCATCAAGAGGTGAATAATAGAGAGAAATGTTAACATTCCACATCTATTATTAGTTCTGGCCATGCTCTGCTATCTATCCTATGCTGGAATTTTTGTGCGAAGGTCTGGCAAATCTCTTGGAAGGTATTAAGACACTTGAGCTCTGTTTTGACATAGGCATAATGTTTCTGGCTGGTGCCCAGTTGTACTTGTTAGATTGAAGAGACTCTATTGAAAGGGAAAGGAAGTATTAAATCATAGGCCAGAATATTGCATCCTCTGATTTGAAACTTACTCTGAAATTAGTATGCAGCAGTAGTAGTCATTTATCTTTAACCTGGCTATTGTTCTTTTCACAGCCTGCACCAGCATGGACTACCTTCAGGGTCGGCTTATTCTGTGGAATATTCATTGTGCTGAATATTACTGTTATTCTTTCAGGTATGTATTTTGGATCAGGCCCGAAGCGGACTCTATTTCCCAGCAGCCCCTACCCACATCACTGCAGCTGGTTTCCATGGGGACCCCAACAGCGTCAGAGCTATGACAGTGCAGGGTCAGGGTCTTCATGGAGACCAGCCCCAGCAGCGCTGGCAGGGTGCGTGGCTGGGCAGAGAGCTGCTCTGAGACCAGAATCATGCGGTGATGACAGGCTGGTCTGGAGCCAGGCCAGAACTGTGATCTGCTACCCACACACCCCAGGCAGGGGCATGCAGGCAGCAGATTGCAGCTCTGTCCCGGCTCTGGACCGCGTTGTCACTGCTGCAAGTTCCCGGTCCCGGAGCAGCTCCCTGCCCAGCTGCATGCCATGCCAGTGCTGCTGGGGCCAGGCTCCATGGAAACCCTGGCCACACCGTCACAGCGCCACCACTGCTGGGGTCTCCATGGAAACCGACCATAGAGATGCAGGCATGGGATGCCGGGAAATAGAATCCGATCATTAGCTGGATCTGCCATTTTGCCCACTTCTGGTCTAGTAACTGGATTGGATTAATCAAAATAATCCTAGTTAGAAGATTTGGTAGTCTGAGTCAAACGAAACTAGTAAACTACTACCTTAATTCAGTTTTTCTTTACCATAATACAGGGGTTGTCAACTGGGGATATGTGTACCCCAGGAGGTACTTGGGAAGGCCTTAGGGGGTATGTGCAGGCGGGTGGGGATGGAGCGCTGCTACCCACCACCCTGCACTGCTGCCCTCCAGGAGCAGGGCCGGAGGGAGTGGGGTGAAAGGGCAGTGGTGCCCCTCTGCAGGTTTCACAAGTGCTGCCCGCCCGGCTGGATGTGGAGGAGGGGGAGCTTGCACACACCACCCACCACCTTGTCCTGCCATTGCTCCACATTTGGCCGCACGCCACCCCTCCCCACTCTGTGTTCGACGATGTGGAGGTATTGTTACATGTTTGTAGAACTCTAGTGGGAAGATGGAAGAACCCATTTCAACCAACTTCATATCATGCAATTCCATCCTTTCAAGAAGTTTTCTCACAGGAATTTCTTAGGCTTCCTTTGTTTGACTTACATGGACCTGACATGGCAATATATTGCTTTGCTTGTAAGCATATATGGAAAGCACACGTGTTCTCATATATCCTGGACCTTGTCTTAATTTTGGTTGGTCTCTGGTCCATGTGAAGTCCACTTATTATTGGGGTATGTTACCCAGAGTCATAAGAATAATGTAAAGCTATTAAATTAATTCAGAGGAAGAATTTTGCTTTGTTGCAGTCAGTTTTTTCAGTTGCATGTGAAAAAGCCTGGCTTTTGTTTCCAGTGGCACAGTAGTCTGTTCAAATAATGCAAAGTAAACAGCCAGCAGATCGGTGCATATTTTGCACAAGAGAAAGTCCTTGTATCTGCTTTAAAACAATTTTTAAACTGTTATTTTTGTATTTAATATATGTTGGAAGCTGTTTTTAAAACTATTTTCCTTGTTTTCCATCAGAGAGGCGGATTATTGCCTGCATGTGTGTGCATATGTGTATGTGCACAGTTCTTGATGCATAGTGTTTTCATGTTTTGTCTGTAGTTTGCCTATGTGACCTTTCAAAGCTGTGGTCAAAGTTAACTGTTGATGTTTGCCTCCTAATGTGAAATTTGAAAGCACACAAGTGCTTGGAATAAAAAAGCAATACAGCATCAGTGATGAACTCATGAACACAATCCTGATTTTCAAATATGTATGCATCTAAACCAGTGTTAATTGTTGTGTTCTTGTGAGATGGCATGATCTGGTATCTGGAAGTTTCTGCAAATATTAGGAAATGGAAGTTGTGTTATAACTAACTGTAAAGATGGGGTTTTTTTCTTAAAAAAAAAAGCATTAACTTAAATGCTCTTTTATGAATGAATTAGTAGCTTTTACTGAATTGCTAAATAGTTGGCTTCATAGACAGAACTTTAAGTTCATTAATTTGTAATTTGCAAGATGGGCATTGTGTTGGAATGTATAACAACAAAACACATCCATAGCTTCTAATTAAAAAAAAAAAAAAAAAAGACAGCTATAAACCTAGGTTTGGAGTAGCTGACAAGAATCCACGCATGGTGGTAGCTGCAGCAAGTGCATCCAAAGCAGGGGTGGGTAATTATTTGGGCTGAAGGGCCACTTAGGGAGTTATGGTGAGCTGTTGTGGGCTAGGTCAGGCCCCCCATTCCCTGCATCCCTGTACCCACAACATCTCACCAAAACTCTGTAAGTGGCCCCTATGGGCACAGCATGCTCAGCTGGGCAGATTCATAGATGTTAGATTCATAGATGTTAGGGTCGGAAGGGCCCTCAATAGATCATCGATTCCGACCCCCAAAGATGGGATGGGGCATCTGGGAGCAGGACATGCAGATAGGGAGTGACATCCAGGAGCAGTATGGGAGGGCGGGGGTGGAATTAGGATCATGGGGCAGAGATAGCGGCAGGGCTGGGGCAGAGGCGCGATCCACTCTCTGCACGGTGGATCGTGATCAGCTTGACCCAGAATGGGGGTGGATTGCATGCCCGTGACCTGGCCCCACTACCCCTGCATGGGTAGCCCCAGTACAGTGCAGTTACAGAGCACCACAGCCTGGCAACGTGGAGTGGCCTAATCTGGTCATGATCCACTGGGGCCATCCCGTGCTGCCAGGCTGCACCAGTTTGCAGTAGTTGCTGTACTGGGCTGCCTGCACACACTGCCTGTGTTGGGGCAGGGGCAGCGGGGGTGAGGTCATGGGCATGCGCTCCACCCCCTTCTGGATTGGACTGGTCACAGTCCATTGTGCGGGGAGCAGATTGGCTCTGCCACAGGCCCTGGCCCCATGCTGTCACTGCCCTGTGATCCCAATTCCAGCACTGCCTTCCCATCCTGCTCCCAGAAATCACTCCCCATCTGCCTGTCCTGCTCCCAGATGGTAAGTATGCCCTACCCATGGGCATTTCAGGCTGATCTCCATGGAGACTCCGCCTGTCCGCTCCATTCAGAGCCCCCAGCAGTGGGTGTGGCGTGGCTGGGCCAGGGTGCCTGGGCAGTGGGGCCAGGGCCAGCAGCAGCAGTTGGAAGGAGCCACTGCCACAGAGGCTTCCAAGAAGTAGAGTCCGGCTGCTGTCACCCCAGCTCTGCTGTGTTCCCAGGGGCAATGGGACCAGCTACATGTGCCAGGGCACAGGCTGTCTGCTGTGCCTGGGCCAGGTGAGGCTGAGGGACTCACCATGGGCCTTGATGGGCTGGATCTGGCCCATGGGCCATATTTTGCTCACCTGTGATCCAGAGAGTGTCACATTTAATAGCTCACAGTTTGTTATGCAGACTCGTATGGGGTTGGACTGGCTAGCCTTATATCACATTTATTGACTGCAGAAACTGAAAGTTTTGTTGGCCCTGAAGGTCTTAGATGGCTATAGAAATGGGGACAGCAAGGGATGATTTAAAAAGTAGCAAGCAAGATTCTGCACACCCAGCTATGACTAACTGCTTCTCTCACAATAATGAGGTTTTCCTTGCTTGTGAAAATACAGTAGGTGGTAATGGTATAGCTTCTGACTGGGATAATGTGAATACTCATGTGGTTGTATTAGCACCTCCCCAAGTTGTTAGGGAATATGGAACTTGTTACACATTAGCAAAGTAATGCAGCTAATTTAATGCTTGCACCATTTTCATAGTAGTGGGCAAAGATCCATAATAGCACTGTGAACTACCGTACAAGAGCCTGTGTAAAGGAGAAGAAGGAGGGTTTGTGATCCTCTTGGGCAGGTCAGAACAAAGAAAACCTCATATCTGTTAAAACATCAGTGCCACTATCAGTATGTCTTTTTTGGCAGAGACCATAGGTCTTTGACATATGTCAGCTGGTAGAGGGCGTGAGTTATCTGAAGCCCATATACCGGTGGATTTTAGGAAATGATCTAACCAAAGGAATTGGAGCTGGATGGAACAGTGGGTTAAAAGAAAAGTGTTGTGTGTCAGATTTTGAGTATAAAAGTCTGGATTGGGCAACAAATAAACAATAATGAGGTGATCTTGTCCTAAACATAATTTGTGCTGTCACAGAATCACTATGCAATTTTCCATACCAAAAAAGTCTACTCAACAGAAACAAGGGTAGTCATAATAATAGAGTGGCAGGTCAGGTTTAGGTGCATTGATGGAGCAGTGTAGAAAAGACTGTGCACTCTGTAGTTCAGGCCAGTCATTAGCTTCTCACTTCCCGGAACAGAATTACTCTAATTATTTTAAAAATAAAATATTTGTTAGAAAGTGGCTTATGTTTGAACCCCAAACTGATTTCAGTGATGTTCCTCCTGCTAGACTTTTTATTGTCCTTACCCAAAAGGTTAGTTCCTCAGATTCTTGGCCCATCTCAGAGCATGTAGAAAACAATGTAGGAAAGTACATTATTTTCACTATTCCATGTTGTGCGGAATGCAATACTGTAAGTTTGAATGGCACTCAAGCATTTATTTTATTTTCAAAGCTTCAAATAGGCCTCAAGGTCTGTTTTCTTCCATGGTATTCAGGCTCTTCTATATATCACATTGACAGGAGGCCTGGTACACATAATTGGACAAGCCCTATTGGACCTAGCAAGAACTCATAAGTGATATTTATTCTTCTGATACTCCAGCTCTACAGTTCTTTATAGTTTAATTATTCTAACTTGGGTTGGCTCCTAAAGCTTTCTCAACAAAGAACCACTTCTCCATAAAATAAATGGGAGGGCTGACTAGAAATTTGTTAGTCAGAAAAACTGGCAGGTTTGGGATATGGCACACTCATCTCCCATGGCCATCTTCACATGGGGCAGAGGTTTTTTTGAGCAAAAATGTATTAGAAGGTAAAGAAAAGATTAGGAAATCTTATCTAACTGCGATATGGTGAAAGTTGATTTGGATATAGCATCTTCTAGTTTCAAAATATAAAAAAGGAAGAGGAGAGGAAGGCTCCCATAGTTTCTTTTCAGTGACTGGTCTGTTGACTTTGCCTAGTATCACTTTTTCTGATATTAGTCACCCCAAAGTTTTGAATATCTCACTCCTATGTCCTATGTGTGAGCCCCCAACCATTATCCTTCTTAAGGGAGTATGAAGTTATTGGGTGTTAACTTGAGTTTCTGATCAACTGTGGATTTTTTAGGCTGTGTTTTATATCAGGACAACTCAACCCAGCTATTCAGTCTAAGGAATCCATTACATATCTTTTCTTCCTACAAAATAGTCACTGAGACTGCTTACACAGATGCGCACGCACGCACGCATGCTTTACTTCAAACTGTGCGCACCCCCATGCCAAACCCAGCATGTACCGAGAAGAGGCAGCATGTTAGTTAGACCCAGCGTGCCCAAAATCTGTATAGATCGGGTGCTTTAGTGAGGCTTTTTTGGATGATTAAATCAGCTATTAGATAAAAACACCAGAAAGCCCTGCTGGAGTGCCTGATCTATACGGACGCTGCAGGGCCAGATTGAAGTAATGTACTACTTTTTCCGGCAAAATGTGGTGGTTTTTTGTTTTTAACATTTGCAAGCAGCCTGAGTTCAGAATTGTCAGGACTTCTTTGCACTGAGCGTATCAACTGGTAGTCACCTCCTTTTCCCTTTTCATGAGTAACATTCCCCTTATATTTGCAAATAACCCTCTTGATCTGACCTATGCATAGTTTAAAAAAAAAAACCTCAAAACCTCAGATGCATAGTTTCACTGGCCCAACTTCAGCAATATCTTTTCCAGGGTGTATACCAGTTTTGGCTGAAATCCTTTTTAATGCTAATTTATTTTGCTGACTTGTCTCAATGTTACCTGATGCATTATACATTTAAAACAGTTCCTGAATCATTCTTCTTTATCTATAATTTTCTTGGTAATCTCAACTGATATAAACTATGAATGAGGGACAGATGGATGAAAATGATTAAAAAACATGATTTTCATGTGAAGGGAGATCGAAAAGAGTGAAAAAATTATATAGAAGTTCAATTGAGTGTTCTAGCTACCCTTAAAGAGTGAGAGGCAGGAGGAAGATGCTGAGTGAAGCTGAAATTGAGGAAAACAACGATTTTACTTTCCCTTCAATAACAAACCTTGCCTCAGGGAATCAGAATGATAAAATTTTACAAACCCACCTATGTTAGACAAAGAGTTTCTACTTTAAATTACTGATTGCCACTTTAGGTGGCAGCACTGAATACAGAAAAACAAAGCGCAATCTTTTATATGACACACAATGGTTGAATACAGTTGTAGTATTGTCACTATGTGTAGCCCAGGAGACAGTACTCTGTGTGTGGTGTATTGAATTTAGGAGCAAACAATTCTTTTAGTTTAACTACATAGCCTGTGAAGAATGTTGAGTGAGCTTCTTTGAATCATGATTCTGCTGGGACACTGCCTTCAGCTTGACCTCACTCCTTGTTTTGTACTGAGTGAGTAGGGTGCTGTTGATAGCCAGAGTAAGAGATGGAAAAAAGCTAGTAATTCTCAAGAAATGTTCAGAAATAGTTGAAAAGGAGATTCAGTTACCAGGGAGCAAAAGATTTTGGGGAAAAAAAGAATTTATAAAAGAAAAAAAAATAACTGATAGCTTAATTTTTCTCATAGGAGGCAAAGTTTGGGAAGACTAATGTAATCCTGAATATGCAGTAAAGCTTAACTCTAATCGTTTGGCCATAAAGGCTAGGGACAGACATTCAAAAAGCCCCAGCCTGAATTGATTCAATCTTTGCAGGTTAGTCTAACTTGCAGAGATTGAACCAATTTGCAAGGGGATAGACGTTTACTTTTTATTCAGGAAATGCAGGCATATGCCTGTAGTGGCTCAGGCTAGAAGCTGGGGGGCGCTAGAGCAATTCCTCCCTTCCGTTCCACAGTGCTGAGCTGAGGGGGTTGTGACCAAGCCCCAGCAGGACACTATGATTAGGGAGGGGTTTAAACCCCCACCCTGTCCTGCACAATCCACAGCCAGGGTGTGCCTGGTGGGGGAAGGGGAAGCAGCCTTCACCAAACTGTCTCCCCCACCCCATCCCTGTTCGCTGTTCGGGACAGGAGCATTGCCAGACCCCAGCTAGAACTCTGAGGCAAAAGGGGTGGTGGGGAACGACTGCTTGTGTGGACTGCATGCATCTGTTGATGATACTGAGCTTTTAAATCTCCCTCTCCCTGCTTCTTCATACTGTCTGCAGCAAACTGACAGGTACTACATTCATTGCAAACTAGGTCATTTCTCACACTTCTCTGTCCCAAACACTGACAGCAAGCCAGCAGGGAGCTTATCAGAACCACAAAGTTTATCAGCCCATCAGGAAAACAAAGCCTCTCTCATTAGTTCAATCTCTTCTTAAACAGCTTTTTGCAAAGCATTTTTAAGGAAGAATGGTGTAATGTATTACCAGCTGACCTGCTGATTAGCTCCAAAATGCCCTAAGTGGACACTGTTCTGTCTGTCTTTGTTCCAGTGAAATTGGAGAGACATGCACATAGACACCACTCAGCATTAGTTAGCATGGGGTTGGTGTGACCATGACCTGGGGTCCGTGCCTCTGGGGTCCATGCTGTGAGAGAGGGGAGTGGGGGATCCCTGCTTGAGCAGTGAGTAGACACTGCTGTGTCTGCAGTCTCCACCTCCTTCTCAGCCAGCTGGCGCTCTGGCTAGGGAGGAGAGGGGAGGGGCCAGCCCTGCTCTCTGGAGCAGATAGTCCAGCCCAGCCCAGCCCAGAGCTGAAAAGCATGCTGGGGGACTCTGATTTAACTTAAACCAGGAAGGGTGCAGGACAGAAGGTCCATAAACCAGTTTGACCCAAATCACTTATGTCTGATACTACATTCAACCACGTTTATTTTAAATCAGTTCTGGCCATTTTGCAACTGTTTTATGTGCACTGAACTTCTGTTCTGTTACAGGTTTGAACCAGTTTCTGATCACTTAAATAGGTTTATATGTAAGTTCAGTCTCTAGCCAAAGAAACACCTTGACTAGCCAAATGCTACTTCTGTTTCTTGACTGAGGTCAAGTGACAGATGTTCTCCTATCCACCTCAGTCATATGTCTGAACCTCTCTGTATTAAGGCAAATTGTGCTGTCTCCCCACCTTGTTTTAATAACTAGAGTACTTAGGCCCTATAAATAAGTACACCCTATTCTTGTCTAGTTGTAGGATCAGCACAAAGAAGCAGAGAATTATTTTGGTCTGCAGTGTAGTTTGTATTATCTCATTAAGCACTTCATTTCTGTCCCCTTCAGGTGTGGTTTTTATAGATGGACCAAATGTGTGGCCACTGGTGAGAATCTATCGAGGTGGCTTTCTCCTGATAGAATTCCTTTTTCTCCTGGGCATCAACACATATGGCTGGAGACAGGCTGGAGTGAACCATGTCCTCATCTTTGAACTCAATCCTCGTAGCAATTTGTCCCATCAGCATCTCTTTGAGGTAAACAGAACAAGTCACAAAAGCACTTGTGAGGTCTGAGTGTCCGCAAGATAAATCATGTCTTGTTTCCTGGCATAGAATTGTAACACAATTACCAAGTCCAGAAGAGGAAGTTACTGGTGCTTGATTTGATTATACTGTTGAAAATAGCTCTCTGTTGTATAATAAAGCAATTCTGAATCCCACAATGAACTATCACATGTATAATGATGTTTGTTTGTTTTGTTTTCCTCTTCCCCATTTTTACTAGATTGCTGGATTCCTTGGGGTATTGTGGTGCCTGAGCCTGCTGGCATGTATATTTGGTAAATTCACCTATATCCCTATGCAGGTGAACCCACTCATCTTGTACGGATTTATGTTGCTTTTTCTCATCAATCCCACCAAAACCTTGTACTACAAGTCCCGGTTTTGGCTGCTCAAACTGTTGGTAAGTCTGCGACTTTATAAAACTTGGGAGAAATTGCTGTGGGTGACTGAGTTCTAATAGTTGAAGTGTGTGAAAATGTGTTAGCAGTTTTCAGGCTGAAGCATATGCTAGAGTTTGTATGTGTGCTTTGAGAGTGTATGCTTATAGGACAGGGTCATGCTTAAGAAATTACCTGTGTTTGTTGGGAATATTGTTACAGAAGTGATTTTTTTTTTGTCAGTCTGTTTTGCATCTGTAATAATCTTCACACCAAGGATATAATATAAATGTTCACATGTGCAGAACTGTGTGTGCACATGGACCTTTGCTCATGCCCTGTGTGTGCTCACCTTAAGCAATTTGGATAGGATTACAAAAATGAAAGCAAAATTAATAAAATGCAGTTTTACCCAAATGTGAAACATACCAGTTCTCAAATGGAAAGAATGGTTTGTTTCTGAGTGGCAAACTCTTTTGCTAAGGTTATTTTCTGTCATGCTCATAACTTTAAACAGTACTTCCTAGGGGCTAACATTTTCTATACTTTTTCTTGGTCAGAAAAAATCAGTTTCTGCTGCCATTAGTCAGAGAACTTAAATGCAAAACTATATTAACATGCTCTTTAATTCAATATTAGGGTTAGAAGTGTGAGTTTGAAACTTTCAGTGGTTTTCAAACATATTGACCCATTGATATCCCTGTTCCCACCTTACCTCATTCCATGTGTTCCTTTTAAATGAATGAAGTGCTGGTTCCTGCACTGTCTCATTTGTTATTTTGAGCTGCTAGGTTCCACCGAGGCTTTTTATCCAGTCTGCCTTGGAAAACTACTGAGTGATCTGCAGGAGGAAAGATACAGCCTTTGATTTGGGGGGGTCTTGGCATATATTCTCCAGGGAATATGGAGAATAAACAACTGACATTATCAGGAACATTTCAAAGGCAAAAAGTAATATGGCTTTACTTACATGCTGTAGGTGCACACAACTAACTAACCTTTAAGCCAGTGGTCTCCCACCTTTTATGATAAAGATCACTGTTTGGCACCCCAGGATCTACTGTGCCCCCCTGTCCCTCCCCCCACCCCGCCTCCCAGGCAAGCAGCCTGGGCTCTGACCCCACTCACCCAGCCCAGCCTGGACGGCAGTGTGAGTGCCTCAGCCTAGCCTCATGCGTCCTGCCGCTCCCAATCATGGAGTTTCTGATAGACTGAGATTGACTGTCAGAGGCTCCATGATCTACCACTCAATCGAAATCAACTGGTTGGCGGCCACTGCTTTAAGCGTTCAAGTTTCTGATGGTAGAAACACTGAGTCAGAGAATCTTTGGTCCCCTTTCTGGCCCTTTCCCCCTTCACTAGTCAATGAATTACCACCTCATACTTAAAGCTTCTTTTACAGATGCAGTAATATTCCTTTCTCCTTTCTTTTTAGTCCCCAGTCTGGCCACCTCTACTTACTGGCTCCCTGTGCTGAAAGAATTTTGACTGGCTCCCCCACTTGTTCCTCATTGAAAGTAAATGAGGAAGACGCTACTTGGGTTCTTAATTAATTTTTGCCTCCTCTCTTCCATGTACTGTGGAGTGGAAGGCATCTAACTGCCAGTTGTTCTGCAATGTAAATGTCTTCCATTTTGCTCTGATATAAAGGGAGAATTTTCCAGATCTGTATTAATTCTTAAGTAAATACAGTATCTTGTGCAGGGTGAACAGTTACCATAGTTTCAGGCCCGCGTGGTGTGATTATACATGTACAGTCTCTCATTTTATAGCATAACCTATTATCACAGCTAAACCTACAGGCATGAAAGAGCCAGGGAAGAAGCACATGAAGTCTTCACAAACCCAGCTTTCAGGCAAGATAGCTACCTTGGGTCTTGCTGCTGATCGTACATCAGTGACAAAGGATCCCTACACCTTTGTGCCAAAGAAGTATTATATTAGTTTCCCACCTATAGTTTCTAATGTTGAAATAACAAGCATTGGTTTATGCATGTCAGGTTACGTGTACATGTTATTAGTAGGCATTTTGCTCATTGTGCCTTCTATTAAGCATTGCAACTGCTGTGCATATATTAATAAGAAAAGATTAGTTGGTGGAATACACTGGGAATGATGATGACAGGAAGAAATAACAGAATAATGAAACAAGTTAATCTAGCCACACCACTAAAACAGAAAACAGCGGCTTGTGAAGTCAGTACTGCAATAAACAGAGTTCACAGGTGTAATCTAGCTAACAGCTTTCTGAAGATCTGTGAATCATAAAAAGCTTGCCCTTGTGACTAAATCCTGTCTAGCAGCCTGCTTATATAGGAAATCTGTGGAGAAGCCACTATACAGAACATTTCTTAACCATTTTTTGTTGCACTTCCACTACTTGATCTTCATTTTTACTTTTAGTAATAGACACTTAGTTCCAGTATTTTTAATTTGCTTTCACCTTGCAAACCCTCTTGTCTTACTAGAAATCATAGAAAATTAGGATTGAAAGGGACTTCAGGAGGTCATCTAGTCCAACCCTCTGCTGAAAGCAGGACCATCTCCAACTAGACCATTCCAGTCAAGGCTTGTCTAGCTGAGTCTTAAAAACCTCCAAGGGTGAAGAGTCCACAGCCTCTCTAGGTAGTCTGTTACAGTGTTTTACTACCTTCCTAGTGTGAGAGTTCTTCCTAATACCTAACCTAAACTTCCTTTGCTGCAACTTGAGACCACTGGTCCTTGTTCTGTCATCTGCCACCACTGAGAACAGTCTAGCTCCAGCCTCTTTGGAACCATGCTCAGGTAGTTGAAGGCTGCTATCAAATCCCCCCTCAGTCCTCTCTTCTCAAGACTAAATAAGCCCAGTTCCCTCAACCTCTTCTCATAAGTCATTTGTACAAGCCCCCTCACCATTTTCATTGGTTGGTCTCTCTCCAACTTGTCCACATCCTTTCTATAGTGGGGGCCCCAAAACTACATGGTGCTCCAGGTGTGGCCTCACCAGTGCAGAATAGAGGGGAAGAACTACTTCCTTAGATCTGCTGGCAATGCTCCTACTAGTGCAGCCCAGTATGCTGTTAGCCTTCTTGGCAACAAGGGCACACTTTTGACTCATATCCATCTTATTGTCCACTGTAACGCATAAGTCTTTTTCTGCAGAACTGCTGCCTAGCCAGTTGGCCCCAAGCCTGTAGCGGTGCATGGGATTGTTCTGTCCTACCTGCAGGACTTTGCATTTGTCTGTATTGAACCTCATGAGATTTCTTTTGGTCCAATCCTCCAATTTGTTCAGGTCTCTCTGAATCCTAGGCCTACCCTCCAGTGTATCTACTACTCCCCATAGCTTTGTCATCCGCAGACTTGCTGAGGGTGCACTCTATGCCATCTTTCAGATCACTGATGAAGATATTGAACAAAACCAGACCCAGGACCAACCGACCCCTGGGGCACCACTTGATACTGGCTGCCCAACTAGATATTGAACCTTTGACTACTACCCTCTAAGCCTGATGATCCAGCCAGTTTTTTATCCACCTTTCAGTCCATTCATCCAACCAACCCGTACTTCCTTAGCTTGCTTGTAAGAATTCTGTGGGAGACCATATCCAAAGCTTTGCTAAAGTCAAGGTATTTCACCTCCACTGTTTTCCCTGCATCCACAGAGCCAGTCATCTCATCATAGAAGGCAATCAGGTTGGTCAGGCATGACTTGCCCTTGGTGAATACATGAGAATTGTTCCTAATCACCTTTTTCTCAAAGTGCTTAGAAATTGATTCTTTGAGGACCTGCTCCATGATTTTTTCTGGGGACTGAGGTGAGACTGACTGGTCTGTAGTTCCCTGGATCCTCCTTCTTCCCTTTCTTCAAATGGGCACTATATATGCTGTTTTCCAATCATCTGGGAAAGCATACATTGTTCATTTGGCTACTGAGACTGTTCTACATACTTTTTTAAACTGCTTTCACAGGTACTCTGAGTGGTACCCCACAATGTGAACAGTTATCCAAGCACTCCTCAGAGCAGGTCCCTTTTTTTCTATTTAATTTATATAAATACACTAAACAGATATAAGTCATAAATTATAAAGACAGCAAGGACTGCTTTGAGATCTAGTCTGATCTGTCTGAATCATTCTGGGAAGTTCTATGCTTTGATCCATTCATTTTTTTTAAGTAAAGCAGGTCCTTTTAGGGGGGAAAACCTACTTTTGATTTAAAAACTTGCAATGGTGAGCCCACTACAAACCTTTGAAAAATTGTTCTGATAGTTATTTTTCTTCCATATTAACAGTTGGCCCCATATTTCTAGCTTAAATTTTGTCTACCTTTATGTTTACAGTTAGTTACATTTTTGTCCTCCAGATTGAAGGACCTACCATTGTTTGTTTGGTTTCCCTTGCAGTTACTCAGATTAGTCAAGTCTCACTTTTTTCAGTCTTTTAATAATTTTAGTGGCTACTCAAATTTTCAACTTCCTTTTTAGATTGTAGAACTAGATACACTATTTCGGTGTCAATAGAGGTACTATATCCTTTATTCCTTCTTGATATTTCTTTTTTTAGTGCGATCATTGGATACACAGCCCTTTTGGCCCCTGTGTGACAGTAGAAACTCATAATTAGTTGATTATTGAACAACAAACCCACAATACCTTAAGTCCCTTTCTGAATAGCTGCTTCCCAAGATAGTTCCCCATCCTATGTGCTTTCCATGTACCCTTCGGGTTAGAGGAGGGTCGGGCAGAGACACTGTGGGTCAAACTACAAGGGGGGTGTGGCGAAAGGGACCTTACAGTGGGTGTCTACTACAAACCACCCAACCAGGGGGAAGAACTGGACCGGGACTTCTCCAGTCAGCTTATGGAGGCGGTTAGGTCAAGGGATGTCATTGTTATGGGTGACCTAAACTACCCAGACATTTGCTGGGAGGAGCAGACAGCCAGGTCTGACCACTCACATAGGTTCCTGGCTGTATTACAGGACCTTCACCTTATCCAGGAAGTGCACAACCGCACTAGGGGTAACGCCTTGCTGGACCTGG